CAAACCCAGTCCCTACCTGTAGTGGGCAGTATGTAATGGTGTACCGGGTAGGTAATGTACAACCAGGATATACTAACCAGTTCAAGGCAGAGTGTGTGTCCGTATGCCGATGCGTAGTGGACTGGGTTGTAGCCCTGTCGGTCTCTGATCCCTGGGTTGGCATCGCTCCTCAATAGGTACTCTACACACCTGACACACACACAGAGGATCAGTCAGTCAGTCAGTCAGTCAGTCAGACAGACAGAGACAGTCAGACAGACAGACAGACGTTACTATTACTTACTTTCCCTCTGTGCCAGCAGCAGCGTAGTGTAGAGGAGAACAGCCCCTCTCATCCAGCTCGTTGACTCCAGCGCCAGACCCCACCAGGGCAAACACACACTGAGAGTTACTGTTACAACAGGCGTAGTGAAGAGGAGTCCTGGAGAGAAGAGAGTTACTGTCACAACAGGCATGGAGTCCATTTGCTTCCGTTTAAGAAACGTTTTGCAACAGAATCGGCAGAATGAATACACCCCTGGAGAGAAGGGGAAGAACATTCATCTTCTTTACAGAGAATGTGTATTTTTGCAGGCATGTACGCACACAAACACTGAATGTGAAGCTGAACCACTGACCTTCCAAACCTGTCCTTCTTGTTGAAGTCTGCTCCTGTATTCAACAACAGATTCAAACACTCCAGGTTCCTGATAGAGAGAGGGTGACCAGAGAGAAAGAGAGATGTTTCCTTGTACAGTAGAACCTTGGATAGAACAGCTAACTGCAGAAATGACTTAAAAATCCAAGAGCACAGGACATTTTTACATTTACATTTTATTCATTTAGCAGACGCTCTTATCCAGAGCAATTAGGGTTAAGTGCCTTGCTCAAGGGCACAGACAGATTTTTCACCTAGTCGGCTCGGGGATTAGAACCAGTGACCTTTCGGTTACTGGCACAACGCTCTTAACCACTAAGCTACCTGCCGCCACAGGACAGAGAGAGAACAAACAAGGGAGAGTTTAAAGAGTTCTCGTCTCACCCTCCTGCGGCCGCAGCATGTAGACAGGTCCTTCCAAAGTGGTCAGGGGTGTCTATGTGGAAGTCTGAGGACAGCAGTTTCCTGCAGCAGTCAGAGAAGCCACTGAGAGCTGCCAGGTGGAGGGGGAACATGCCATGGACGCCACGCCTGTAACAAACATCAAGTCAGCGGTGCTTAGCCAGGTGTTGGTCACTGTGTTGGTCTCCAACTCAGTCTAGTACGTGAGTGTAGACTTAGTAAGTGGTGTTGGCTCCATGTGTGATAAGTCTGTCTGTGTGTGTGTGTGTGTGTGTGTGTGTGTGTGTGTGTATACATACAGTATACAGTGAGGGGAAAAAAGTATTTGATCCCCTGCTGATTTTGTACGTTTGCCCACTGACAAAGAAATTATCAGTCTATAATTTTATTTGAACAGTGAGAGACGCATGTCAGCAATGTTATAAATTGATTTGCATTTTAAATGAGGGAAATAAGTATTTGACCCCTCTGCAAAACATGACTTAGTACTTGGTGGCAAAACTCTTGTTGGCAATCACAGAGGTCAGACGTTTCTTGTAGTTGGCCACCAGGTTTGCACACATCTCAGGAGGGATTTTGTCCCACTCCTCTTTGCAGATCTTCTCCAAGTCATTAAGGTTTCGAGGCTGACTTTTGGCAACTCGAACCTTCAGCTCCCTCCACAGATCTTCTATGGGATTAAGGTCTGGAGACTGGCTAGGCCACTCCAGGACCTTAATGTGGTTCTTCTTGAGCCACTCCTTTGTTGCCTTGGCCGTGTGTTTTGGGTCATTGTCATGCTGGAATACCCATCCAGGACCCATTTTCAATGCCCTGGCTGAGGGAAGGAGGTTCTCACCCAAGATTTGACGGTACATGGCCCCGTCCATCGTCCCTTTGATGCAGTGAAGTTGTCCTGTCCCCTTAGCAGAAAAACACCCCCAAAGCATAATGTTTCCACCTCCATGTTTGACGGTGGGTATGGTGTTCTTGGGGTCATAGGCAGCATTCCTCCTCCTCCAAACACGGCGTGTTGAGTTGATGCCAAAGAGCTCCATTTTGGTCTCATCTGACCACAACACTTTCACCCAGTTCTCCTCTGAATCATGGCAAACTTCAGATGGGCATGTATACAGTCGTGGTCAAAAGTTTTGAGAATGACACAAATACTAATTAAGTCTGCTGCCTCAGTTTTGATGATGGCAATTTGCATATACTCCAGAATGTCATGAAGAAGTTGAATCAGATGAATTGCAATTAATTGCAAAGTCCCTCTTTGCCATGAAAATGAACTTAATCCAAAAAAACATTTCCACTGCATTTCAGCCTTTCCACAAAAGGACCAGCTGCCATCATGTCAATGATTCTCTCGTTAACACAGGTGAGAGTGTTGACGAGGACAAGGCTGGAGATCACTCTGTCATGCTGATTGAGTTAGAATAACAGACTGGAAGCTTTAAAAGGAGGGTGGTGCTTGAAATCATTGTTCTTCCTCTGTTAACCATGGTTACCTGCAAGGAAACACGTGCCGTCATCATTGCTTTGCACAAAAAGGGTTTCACAGGCAAGGATATTGCTGCTAGTAAGATTGCACCTAAATCAACCATTTATCGGATCATCAAGAACTTCAAGGAGAGAGGTTCAATTGTTGTGAAGAAGGCGTCAGGGCACCCAAGAAAGTCCAGCAAGCACCAGGACCGTCTCCTAAAGTTGATTCAGCTGCGGGATCGGGCACCACCAGTGCAGAGCTTGCTCAGGAATGGCAGCAGGCAGGTGTGAGTGCTTCTGCACACACACAGTGAGGCGAAGACTTTTGGAGGATGGCCTGGTGTCAAGAAGGGCAGCAAAGAAGCCACTTCTCTCCAGGAAAAACATCAGGGACAGACTGATATTCTGCAAAAGGTTCAGGGATTGGACTGCTGAGAACTGTGGTAAAGTAATTTTCTCTGATGAATCCCCTTTCCGATTGTTTGGGGCATCCGGAGAAGACAAGGTGAGCGCTACCATCAGTCCTGTGTCATGCCAACAGTAAAGCATCCTGAGACCATTCATGTGTGGGGTTGCTTCTCAGCCAAGGGAGTGGGCTCACTCACAATTTTTCCTAAGAACACAGCCATGAATAAAGAATGGTACCAACACATCCTCCGAGAGCAACTTCTCCCAACCATCCAAGAACAGTTTGGTGACAACCAATGCCTTTTCCAGCATGATGGAGCACCTTGCCATAAGGCAAAAGTGATAACTAAGTGGCTCGGGGAACAAAACATTAAAATGTTGGGTCCATGGCCAGGAAACTCCCCTGACCTTAATCCCATTGAGAACTTGTGGTCGATCCTCAAGAGGCGGGTGGACAAACAAAACCCCACAAATTCTGACAAACTCCAAGCATTGATTATGCAAGAATGGGCTGCCATCAGTCAGGATGTGGCCCAGAAGTTAACTGACAGCATGCCAGGGCGGATTGCAGTGGTCTTGAAAAAGAAGGGTCAACACTGCAAATATTGACTCTTTGCATAAACTTAGTGTAATTGTCAATAAAAGCCTTTGACACTTATGGAATGCTTGTAATTATACTTCAGTATACCATAGTAACATCTTTGTGAAGACCAATACTTGTGTCATTCAAAACTTTTGACCACGACTGTATGTGCTTTCTTGAGCAGGGGGACCTTGCGGGTGCTGCAGGATTTCAGTCCTTCACGGCGTAGTGTGTTACCAATTGTTTTCTTGGTGACTATGGTCCCAGCTGCCTTGAGATCATTGACAAGATCATCCCGTGTAGTTCTGGGCTGATTCCTCACCGTTCTCATGATCATTGCAACTCCACAAGGTGAGATCTTGCATGGAGCCCCAGGCCGAGGGAGATTGACAGTTCTTTTGTGTTTCTTCCATTTGCGAATAATCGCACCAACTGTTGTCACCTTCTCACCAAGCTGCTTGGCGATGGTCTTGTAGCCCATTCCAGCCTTGTGTAGGTCTACAATCTTGTCCCTGACATCCTTGGAGAGCTCTTTGGTCTTGGCCATGGTGGAGAGTTTGGAATCTGATTGATTGATTGCTTCTGTGGACAGGTGTCTTTTATACAGGTAACAAACTGAGATTAGGAGCACTCCCTTTAAGAGTGTGCTCCTAATCTCAGCTCGTTACCTGTATAAAAACACCTGGGAGCCAGAAATCTTTCTGATTGAGAGGGGGTCAAATACTTATTTCCCTCATTAAAATGCAAATCAATTTATAACATTTTTGACATGCGTTTTTCTGGATTTCTTTGTTGTTATTCTGTCTCTCACTGTTCAAATAAACCTACCATTAAAATTATAGACGGATCATTTCTTTGTCAGTGGGCAAACGTACAAAATCAGCAGGGGATCAAATACTTTTTTCCCTCACTGTATGTATGTATGTATGTATGTGTATATGTATGTGTATATATATATATATATATATATATATATATATACACACACACATACAGTATCTCTCGCTCTCTCTAGAGGGAGATATATATGGAGATATACATTACCAGTCAAAAGTTTGGACACACCTACTCATTCAAGGGTTTTTCTTTATTTTTACTATTTTCTACATTGTAGAATAATAGTGAAGACATCAAAACTATGAAATAACACATATGTAGTAACCAAAAATCTATTTTATATTTTATATTCTTCAAAGTAGCCACCCTTTGCCTTGATGATAGCTTTGCATAAGTTCATTAGAGTTAACTGCACCTCAGATTGCAGCCCAAATAAATGCTTCACAGAGTTCAAGTAACAGACACATCTCAACATCAACTGTTCAGAGGAGACTGCGTGAATTGCTGCAAAGAAACCACTACTAAAGGACACCAATAATAAGAAGAGACTTGCTTGGGCCAAGAACCACAAGCAATGGACATTAGACCGGTGGAAATCTGTCCTTTGGTCTGATGAGTCCAAATTTGAGATTTTTGGTTCCAACCGCTGTGTCTTTGTGAGATGCAGACTAGGTGAACGGATGATCTCCGCATGTGTGGTTCCCACTGTGAAGCATGGAGGAGGAGGTGTGATGGTGCTTTGCTGGTGACACTGTCTGGTGACACTGTCTGTGATTTATTTAGAATTCAAGGCACACTTAACCAGCATGGCTACCACAGCATTCTGCAGCGATACACCATCCCATCTGGTTTGCGCTTAGTGGGACTATCATTTGTTTTTCAACAGGACAATGACCCAAAACACACCTCCAGGCTGTGTATGGGCTATTTGCCAAAAGTGTGCAAAGCTGTCATCAAGGCAAAGGGTGGCTACTTTGAAGAATCTAAAATATAAAAAATACTTTGATTTGTTTAACACTTTTTTGGTTACTACATGATTCCATGTGATATTTCATTGTTTTGATGTCTTCACTATTATTCTACAATGTAGAAAATAGTAAAAATAAAGAAAAACCCTTGAATGAGTAGGTGTCCAAACTTTTGACTGGTACATATTTTTTTTACAGTTCATTTAAGCAAATCAGTCAATTTAAATAAATGTATTAGGCCCTAATCTATGGATTTCACATGACTGGGCAGGGGTGCAGCCATGGGTGGGCATAGGCCCACCCACTTGGGAGCCAGGCCCAGCCAATCAGACTGAGGTTTTCCCCACAAAAGGGCTTTATTACAGACAGAAATACTCCTCAGTTTCATCAGCTGTCCGGGTGGCTGGTCTCAGACGATCTCGTAGGTGAAGAAGCCGGATGTGGAGTTCCTGGGCTGACGGTTGTGGGGCCGGTTGGATGTACTGCCAAATTCTCTAAAATTACGTTGAGGCGGCTTATGGTAGAGAAATGAACATTAAATTCTCTGGCAACAGCTCTGGTGGACATTCCTGCAGTCAGCATGCCAATTGCACACTCCTCCAAAACTTGAGACATCTGTGGCAAACTGCATATTTTAGAGTGGCCTTTTATTGTCCCTAGCACAAGGTGCACCTGTGTAATGATCATGCTGTTTAAACCTTCCTACAATTGAGGAGTAGAAAAACATCGCCTGGTCCGATGAATCCCGTTTCCTGATGTATCATGCTGATGGCAGAGTCAGGATTTGGCGTAAGCAGCATGAGTCCATGGCCCCATCCTGCCGGTTGTCAACGGTACAGGCTGGTGGCGGTGGAGAATGGTGTGGGGAATGTTTTCCTGGTGCACGTTAGGTCCCTTGATACCAACTGAGCAATGTTTGAACACCACAGCATATCTGAACATTGTTGCTGATCAGGTGCATCCCTTCATGGTTACAGGAGGGTCCAACCCGGTAATATAAGGGTGTACCTAATAAACTGGCCACTGATTGGAGATCCCTCAGGAGACCATCCGCCACCTCATCAGGAGCATGCCCAGGCATTGTAGGGAGGTCATACAGGCACGTGGAGGCCACACACACTACTGAGCCTCATTTTGACTTGTTTTAAGGACATTACATCAAAGTTGGATCAGCCTGTAGTGTGATTTTCCATTTTAATTTTGAGGGTGACTCCATATCCAGACCTCCATGGGTTGATACATTTGATTTCCATTGATAATTTTTGTGTGATTTTGTTGTCAGCACATTCAACTATGTAAAGACAAAAGTATTTAATAAGATTATTTCATTCATTCAGATCTAGGATGTGTTGTAGCAGTGTATATATATATATATATATATATATATATATATATATATATATATATATATATATATATATATATATATATATATATGTGTGTGTGTGTGTGTGTGTGGTGTGTCTTACTTGGCTGTGTAGGCTCCGTGTGTGAGCAGAGTGTTGATCAGTAACTGGTGTCCGTAGCGAGCAGCGATGTGAAGAGGAGAGTTCCCATTCTTATCCTCACAGTCCACCTCCGCACCTACACACACAACACACAACACACACACAACACACACAGACAGACAAAGAGCCAATAGTAGGGTGTTTGAAGTATTAACAGACCAATAGCAGTGTGTGTGTGGTGGTTTGGGGTGGGCCTCACCGTTTTGAATGACAGCCTGTGAACGAGAGAATCTTCCATGGACCGCTGCCATGTGGAGAGGGGTCTTCCCATCCTTACTCTGGAGGGGGGAATGAGAGAGTGAGAGGGAGAGAGAGGGGGGCGGGGGAGCGAGAGAGAGGCATTTGACTCTGTTTGTCAAAGCAGTTAATTGTTAGCTGTGATGTTCCCTGTGTTATAAACGTTCCTATTCAGATCAGGACTGGGTGACGTTCCCTGTGTTATAAACCTTCCTATTCAGATCAGGACTGGGTGACGTTCCCTGTGTTATAAACCTTCCTATTCAGATCAGGACTGGGTGTGAACTCTAAAGGTTTTATGGAAACTGTCTCAGCTGCCCTGAGCAGCTTGCACCGAGAGGCGTTCAGCTCTTCTCTCACACCCCCCACCCTGAGCAACTTCAGCTCTTCTCTCACCCCCCCCCCACCCTACCGCCCTGAGCAACTTCAGCTCTTCTCTCACCCTCCCCCCACCCACCCACCCACCCTACCGCCCTGAACAACTTCAGCTCTCCTCTCACACCCCCCACCATATGTCCCACTACTACCCTGTGGGCCTAGGAGCAGTGTGTGTGTACCCTGATGTTGACGTTAGCTCCGTTCCCCAGCAGTAGTTCCAGACACAGCGCCCCCTGGCGGGAACAGGCTGAGAAGTGCAGCGCAGACAGACCCCTCTCATTCACCTGTTAGAGAGAGAGATACTGTTACTATATACACACCAACACACGTGCACCAACACACGCACAAAAAGGGTGTATGGTTTATGGAGGTCCAGCCTTATGAGTTGTTTTACCACCTATCCGGCCATTTTTAAAAAGCCTATGGGAGCAGATTCCATAAAATTCCCCCGGTTTTTTCTGAGGAGGAGGGGAGCGAGGGGGGAGACAGAGAGCGGGGGGGAAGAAAGGAGCGGGCGGGGAGAGAGAGCAGAGAGCGGGCGGGGGGGAAGAGAGAGAGAGAGCAGGACGGGCGGGGAGGAAAAGAGAAGGGGGGGGGAGAGGGCAGAAGGGAGGGGGCGGGGGGGGGGGAAGAGGAGAGAGAGGGAGGGGGGGGGAGAGAGCAGAAGGGGGGGGGTAGGCATGGGGGGGGTGAGAGAAAAAGAGGGGGGGGGGGGGGGAGGGGGAAGAAAGAGAGGGGGGGGAGAGAGAAGAGGAGGGAGGGGGGGAAAAAGAGAAAAGGGGCAGGGGGGGAAGGGGAGGGGGGGAGAGGGAAGAGGGGGGCAGAGGGGGGGGGGGGCCGGGAGAAGAGAGAGGGAGGGCCGGGGGAGGAGGCGGGAGAGGGGGGAGAAGAGGGGGAAAAGGGCGGGAGGGGGGGGGGAGGCCGGGAAAGGGAGAGAGGGGGAGAGGAGGGGACGGGGAGAAGAGAGGGAAGAAAGGGGAGGGCCCGGGGGGAGAAGGGGGGCCGCGGGGAGGAGAGAGGGGGAAGGAGGGAAGGGGGGGAGGAGGGAAGAGAGGGGGGGGGGAAAAAGGGGGGGAAAAGAGGAGAGAGGGGAGGGGGGAAAAGAGGGGGCGGGGAAGAGAGGGGGGGAGGGGAGGGGGGGGCGGGGGGAGGAAAAAGAGGGGGGGGGGGAGGGGAGAGAGAGGGGGGGGAGGAAGAGAGGGGGGAAAAAAGGGGAGAGGGGGGGAGAGAGAGAGGGGGGGGGGAGAGGGGGGGGGGGGGAGAGAGAGGGGGGGGCGGGGGAGAGAAAGAGAGGCGAGGAGCCCGGGGGCGGGGGGGGAAGAGAGAAAGAAGGGGGGGAGAGAGAAAGGGGGAGGGGGGGGGGTGAGGAGAAAGAGGGGGGGGAGAGGGAGAGGGAAAGAGAGAGAAGAGGGCGGGGAAAGAGAGAGAGAGGGGGAGGGAGAGGGAGGGGGAAGGGGGGGGGGGGAAGAGAGAGAGAGAGGGGGAGGGGAGAGGAAAAGGGAGGGCGGGGAGAAGAGGGGAGGAGAGGGGAGGATGGGGAGGGAGAAGAGAGAGGGGCGAGAGAGAGGGGGGAGACCGAGGAGGGAGAGAGAGAGAGAGAGAGAGGGGAGAGAAGAGAGAGGAGAGGGGGAGAGAGAGGGGAGAGGGAGGGGGAAAAGAGGGGAGAGAGGGGGGAGAGAGGGGGGAGGAGAGGGGGAGAGAGAGGGGGAGAGAGAGGGGAGAGGAAGATGAGAGAGAGAAGATTGAGAGAGAGAGGGGGGAGGGGAGGGGGAGATAGAGAGAGAGGGGAGATAGAGAGAGAGGGAAGAGAGAGAGAGAGAGAGAGAGAAGCAGTTAGTTTGTGTATCTCAACAGACTTCTTTCTTTGCTATTATAAGGCGAGGATGAAATTGAATGATGTTTGTGTGTGTGTACCTGTACACCCAGCCCCAGCAGGTATTGGACAGTGGTAGTCATCCCACTAGAGGCAGCGGCATGTAGAGGAGTATAAGAGTTCTTATCTTTACAGTCTATCTCTGCTCCGCTAGACACCAACAACCTCACCACCTCCATATGACCTGGAGGGAGGGAGGGGGGAAGGGAGGTGAGGAAAGTAGGGACGGAGGTGGCGAAAGAGAAACAGAGCGGGGAAGGGAACATTTTGTTAGCATACCATTCATACCATTTTGTTTGTAGAAAAAATCTAAACATCAAATAAAAATGTATTCAAACAAACAACCCTTTTTATATAGCTCTGAGTGTGTGTGTTTGCGTCTTACCCATGTAGGCAGCCCAGTGGATGGCTCTCCTGTCCTTCTTATCAAAGGCGTCGATGTTGGCTCCTCTGGAGAGAAGCAGCTTCACCATCTGACACACACACGCGCACAACAAGTGAAGTCATACTAGCCTCATGACACGCCAACTAATACGTCTGTGAATGTGTGTGTGTTACCTCCAGGTGTCCGCTGAAGGCAGCATGGTGCAGGGCTGTGCGTCCACCCCGGTCCGACACATTGACGTTGCTAAGCAATGGGACGAGGGCCTCGGCAACGCGGATAGCCTTGTTGTTGGCGGCAACATGGAGAGGAGTCTGCCAGTTCTTATCCCGTGCGTTCACATCAGCACTGTGTTTTATCAACATACACACTGCATCCTACACACACACACAAAGAAAGAGCGTTCACAATCACTGTTTCAACAAGACTGATACAGCATCATATAGAGAAAGAGAGCATTGATGAACGTGTGTGTGTGTGAGTAAGTGAGTGTGTGTTACCTCGCTGCAGGAAGCAACAGCTCGGTGAAGAGGAGTTAACCACTTATTGTCTTTAGCATTTACTCTGGCTCCTAAAAAAGAGAGAGAGAAAAGGTTAAGGGTTAACTTTCCACTGACAGAGAATGGGCAGGACCCACGAGCTACTGGGGGAAACTCCCATGATCCTTTGAGAGGCCCATGTGTGTCAGGGGTTAAAATAGACCATCACAACACACACAGGGAAACAACCTCCACATCTCTCTCCCTATCATTTCCTCTCCATGAATGGGTGATGTCAACATTGGCTGCTGTGACCAAATACTCATACTAAGTCTTCCAATTTAGTAGGCTTTTCAGGTATAACAGGCAGACAGGTATAACAGGCAGACAGGTGAGATGTGTACCTGAGAGGATGAGGAGTTCGATGATGTCAGCGTCTCCTAGGTAGGCTGCAGCGTGGAGTGGGGTCCTTTTCTCACTGTCCTAGTAGAGACCAGAGCAGAAATACATGTTATACATATTACACACACTACTTTCATGTTCATTTTAGGAGGGAGGTACAGTATGTAAAATATGTAATTTGACACTAGCTTCGATGTTCATAATAAAGTTGAACACACACACTGCTTCTCACTATGCTGCCAGTAGACAAGAGGGAGCACAACTATGTCCCACACAACAGTGCAGCCAGCCAAGTGACGGGTTAGCTTCCCCTCTCTCCCTCTCTCCCTCCCTCCATCCATCTCCAGGAGTCTGGGAGACACTGCAGGGCAGCTGGGAGTAGGTCAACTACTACTGTACTTGGCAGGGATCCCACTAGAAGCCAGACTAATAACAGCATCACTCCTCCACTCCTCTTACCCAACATCTTTGGGCTGCTTTCCCGGACACAGATTAAGCCTAGTCCTGGACAAAAAAATCTGCCTCAATGGAGAGTCTCCATTGACATTTCTTTATTATCCAGGACAAGGTTTAATTGGTATACGGGAAACCGCCCCAAGTGTTCAGAATCAACTGTTTAAGAGAGCATCTTAATTTTTCACCTGCAATTAACTCGGAAAGGGAAGATTGACAACAGTGTGTTAGATTGTTGTAGTCTCGCTAGCTGTGGCCAATCATTGGTCAGTCTGTGTAGTTGTGGCCAGTCATCGGTCAGGCTCCCAGGGAGCCAGGGAACAAGGTAATAAAGGCAGGATGACAGGATGATGGAGGGATTTCTCTCCTCCCTCTGCTCTCACATTCCCTCTGCTCTCCCTGGGGGGTAGCCTATCGACCAGTGGTCCTGTGTATGTGTGTGTGTGTGTGTGTGTCCAGTGTCTCACTGGTGTGAGAGTGACCGATGGGTGACTACAAGAGTACCTCTCTGTCGCTCTCCCTCTTCTCCTCTGTGGTGAGGATGTTTTACCATCTGTCTGACCATATAACGCAGGTCCTCTGTAGAACTAACCAACCATGCTAGTCAATCTGGATGGATGGAACAATCAATTCCAGCTCTCTCTCTCCCTCCCTTCCATGCCCTCCCCCCCCTCTCTTTATCACTTGCCCATTCCCCTCTCTCCAACTCTCCCAGTCTACCTCCCTCCCTCTCTCGTTCTCTGCTTCCCTCCATCCCTTGTTCTCTCCATGCAGCAGAGGGCAATCAGGGGAGTACCGTAGGTCGTAAACAAAGTCACATGACGGAGAGGGAGGCCTGTAATAGGTCAGATTGAAAACTGCTGACTCAAACATCAGACCAAAATGTCTCTGATGACCCCAGCAATATAGAGAGAAGTAGAGAGAGTGGAGGGAGGGTGAGAGGGAGAGAAAGAGGGCAGGGGTGAGAGGGAGGGAGGACGGGGGATTGAGAGCGAAAGAGAGAGGGCTGAACAGAAAGGGAGTGGGAAAGAAGAAAGGAACTAACCTGCCCTCACCTGATTGATTGGCTGAAAGAATCTGGCCTCTCAACATTGATTTAGTAAGAGACCGAGAGTACAGACACACTGGCTATTCCACAATTGTCTAAAAAGTCTGTCCTCTCCTCCTGTCCTTCATTGCACTGATCTGAAAGAATTGACCAGGCAAGCCAGCGTAATGATGAGAACTGACCAGGAAAGCCAGCCTAATGATGAGCTTCCACCTGTCAAGTCTTTGATAATCATTGCAGATGAAGGGTGAGGAGATGAGGAGTGGACGGATTTGCAAGCAATTCAGAGCAAGAGATACTTATGGACTGACTGACTCCTGTCTGTGTCGGTCTGTGTGTGATCAGTAATGTTACCTGTACGTTGACATCCTCCTTCTTGAATATGAGGGAGCGGACTTCATCAGCGTCCACACTGAAGATGGCTTTCAGCAGAGAGGGCTGTATGGGAGGACACAGAGAGAACTAACTATCAGTCAATGTGTGTCTGTGTGTGTGTGTAAAAATATACATGGATTTTTTATTTAGTATTATAGCTACTATTCTTATTGTTGTCGCTGTTGTTTTCATAATATTTAGGTGCATCACTTCACTTTGGCAACATTGACCTTGTCATTCATGCCATTAAAGAAGATTGAATTTGAGTGAGTGAATGAGTGAGTGAGAGAGATAGAAACAACAAGAGCGAACAATGGAAAGAATAGATAGCGAGAGAAACAGAGAGAGAAATGTAAAGGTGTTAGATCATTTTCCTCTGAATGAATTGGCTTGATTACTATCAAGACATTTTTTACATTTTAGTCATTTAGCAGACGCTCTTATCCAGAGCGACTTACAGTTAGTGAAAAAAAAAAAAAAAATATATATATATATATATATATATATATATATATATATATATATATATATATATATATATATATATTATTTATTTATTTATTTATTTATTTATATACTGGCCCCCCGTGGGAAACGAACCCACAACCCTGGCGTTGCAAACGCCATGCTCTATCAACTGAGCTACATCCCTGCCGGCCATTCCCTCCCCTACCCTGGACGACGCTGGGCCAATTGTGCGCCGCCCATGAGTCTCCCGGTCGCGGCCGGCTGCTACAGAGCCTGGATTCGAACCAGGATCTCTAGTGGCACAGTTAGCACTGCGATGCAGTGCCTTAGACCACTGCGCCACTCAGGAGCCCAGAACCTGTTAACATCCTGCTTGCTAACGTTACTACAGTTTGGTTACATGCTGAAGATTACTACAGGGCATTTCCATCTAAAAAGGACCCATGAGCACCAACTTCTGAAGTTCATAGGAGCAAAAAGCTAAGAGTCTATATTTTTGAGCGATTAAGGCAAATATACATTTTTCAACCATTTCCCACAGTTATAAGCATAGGCTTTGATTTCTGGTCAAACAGTGGTCTTAGACAACATCTACCAGAAAAAGTATTAAAAAGGTACTTAAAAAACAATAATTTTGAAGTAAAGACCCCTGGCAACTAATATCAACAATTATATTTACACTGAACAAAAATATAAACGCAACATGTAAAGTGTTGGTCCCATGTTTCATGAGCTGAAATAAAAGATCCCAGAAATTTTCCTTACACACAAATCTTGTGCACATCCATGTTAGTGAGCATTTCTCCATTAATCCATCAAGAAGCTGATTAAACGGCATGATCATTACACCTTGTGCTGGGGACAATAAAAGGACACTCTAAAATCTGCAGTTTGTCACACAATACAATGCCACAGAGCATGCAATTGGCATGCTGACTGCAGGAATGTCCACCAGAGCGGTTGCCAGACAATTTAATGTTCATTTCTCTACCATAAGCCGCCTCCAATGTTGTTTTAGAGAATTTGGCAGTATGTCCAACCGGCCTCACAACCGCAGACAACGTGTATTGCATCATGTGGGCGAGCAGTTTGCTGATGTCAACGTTGTGAACAGAGTGCCCCATGGTTGCGGTGGGGTTATGGTATGGGCAGGCATAAGCTACGGAAAACAAGCATTTTATCAATGGAAATCTGAATGCACAGAGACCGTGACGAGATCCTGAGGCTCATTGTTGTGCCATCACCTCCTGTTTTAGCATGATAATGCAAGGCCCCATGTTGCAAGGATCTGTACACAATTCCTGGAAGCTGAAAATGTTCCAGTTCTTCCATGGCCTGCATACTCACCAGACATGTCACCCATTGAGCATGTTTGGGATGCTCTGGATCAACGTGTACGACAGCGTGTTCCAATTCCCGCCAATATCCAGCAAATTCACACGACCATTGAAGAGGAGTGGGACAACATTCCACAGGCCACAATCGACAGCCTGATCAACTCTATGTAAAGGAGATGTGTCGCACTGCATGAGGCGAATGCTGGTCACACCAGATACTGACTGGTTTTCTGATCCACGCCCCTATCTTTTTCTTTTAAGGTATCTGTGACCAACCGATGCATATCTGTATTCCCAGTCATGTAAATCCATAGATTAGGGCCTAATGGATTTATTTCAATTGACTGATTTCCTTATATGAACTCTAACTCAGTAAAATCTAAAAAATAGTTGCATGTTGTGTTTATATTTTTGTTCAGTATAGTTTGGGAGAAATTATTAGCCTTCTGTAAGTTTAAGAAACATTGTAATTGTAAAAGCCTTGTAATTATGTTACCAATAACCCACAAAAGTATGTTGACAACCCTTCAAATTAGTGGATTCAGCTATTCCAGCCACACCCGTTGCTGACAGGTTTATAAAATCGAGAACACCGCCATGCAATCTCCATAGACTAACATTAGCAGTAATGAAGAGCTCAGTGACTTTCAACGTGGCACCGTCATAGGATACCACCTTTCCAAAAAGTCAGTTTGTCAATTTTCTGCCCTGCTAGAGCTGCCCGGGTCAACTGTAAGTGCTGTTATTGTGAAGTGGAAACATCTAGGAGCAACAACGACTCAGCTGCGAAGTGGTAGACCACACAAGCTCACAGAACAAGACCACCGAGTGCTGATGCACGTAAAAATCGTCTGCAACACTCACTACAGAGTTCCAAACTGTCTCTGGAAGCAATGTCAGCACAAGAACTGTTCGTTGGGAGCATCATGAAATGGGTTTCCATGGCCGAGCATGGCCGCGTTCTCCGGAGTGATGAATCACGCTTCACCATCTGGCAGTCAGACAGACGAATCTGGGTTTGGCGGATGACAGGAGAACGCTACCTGCCCGAATGCATAGTGCCAACTGTAAAGTTTGGTGGAGGAGGAATAATGGTCTGGGGCTGTTTTTCATGGTTCAGGCTAGGCCCCTTTGTTTCAGTGAAGGGAAATCTTAACGCTACAGCATACAATGACATTCTAGACGATTCTGTGCTACCAACTTTGTGGCAACAGTTTGGGGAAGGCCCTTTCCTGTTTCAGCATGACAATGCTCCTGTGCACAAAGCGAGGTCCATACAGAAATGGTTTGTCGAGATCTGTGTTGAAGAACTTGACTGGCCTGCGCAGAGCCCTGACTTCAACCCCATAGAAACCCCTTTGGGATGAATTGGAACACTGACTGCGAGCCAGGCCTAATCGCCCAACATCAGTGCCCGACCTCACAAATGCTTGTGGCTGAATGGAAGCAAGTCCCCGCAGCAATCTCAGAAAAGTGGAGGCTGTTACAGCAGAAAAGGGGGGGACCAACTTCATATTGTGCCCATGATTTTGGAATGAGATGTTCGACGAGCAGGTGTCCACATTCGGAAAGTATTCAGACCCCTTGACTTTTTCCACATTTTGTTACATTACAGCCTTATCCTAAAATTGATTCAATAGTTTTTCCCCCTCATCAATCTACACACAATACCCCAAAATGACAAAGCAAAAACAGGTTTTTAGATTTTTTTGCTAATCTACACTACCGGTGAAAAGTTTTAGAAAGGTTTTTCCTTTATTTCTTTACTATTTTCTATATTGTAGAATAATAGTGAAGACATGAAAACTATGAAATAACACATATGGAAACATGTAGTAACCTAAAAAGTGTTAAACAAATCAAAATATATTTCAAATTTGAGATTCTTCAAATAGCCACCCTTTGCTTTGATGACAGCTTAGCACACTCTTGGCATTCTCTTAACTAGGCACTAAAGTAAAACTGCAAACAGTGTGGACGAGAAATGAACTTTATGTCCTGAAAACAAATTGTTATGTTTGTGGCAAATCCAACACAACACATCACTGAGTACCACTCTTCATATGTTCAAGCATGGTGGTGGCTGCATTTTAGGATAAAAAGAAACGGAAAAGAGCTAAGCACAGGCAAAATCCTAGAGAATCCTGGTTCAGTCTGCTTTCCAACAGACACTGGGAGACAAAATTCACCTTTCAGCAGAACAATAACCTAAAACACAAGGCCAAATATACACTGCAGTTGCTTACCAAGACAACATTGTACATTCCTGAGTGGCCTAGTTACAGTTTTGACTTAATATCGCCTTGAAAATCTATTGCAAGACTTGAAAATGGCTGTCTAGCAATGATGAACAACCAACTTGATAGAGCTTAAAGAATTTTTTCAAGAAAAATGTGCAAATATTGTACAATCCAGGTGTGTAAAGCTCTTAGAGACTTACTCAGAAAGACTCACAACTGTAATTACTGCCAAAGGTGATTCTAACATGTATTGACTCAGGGATGTAAATACTTATGTAAATTAGATATTTCTGTATTTAATTTTCAATAAATTTGCAAAATGTTCTAAAAACATGTTTTCACTATTTCATTATGGGGCATTGTGAATTCAGGCTGTAACACAACAAAATATGGAATACGTCAAGTGGTATGAATACTTTTTGAAGGCACTGTATCTTTTCATCTTAATTCGGAGCAGAGTTTTTGGCAAACCTGGTCGCATAAAAAACTGAGGTAGATTACCCTAATTATGTTACCAAACTTTGCATCTGCACAGTTCTTCCAGTAAATGTGTTTTTGTTCAATTATCTGTGTAAATTGTTCAAAGTAGTCCTTGTGCATGGAGTTGTATGTTTTGTTAAACTTTGAAAACAATGGTTTTTGTTTGGCATACATTTTAAAGTGAACAGTGAGTCAAAGCATCATTCCAATACCGTGGAATTGACTGACAACAGCTTTATTCTGGGCTACAATAGTGAGTGTGTGTATGTGTCACAAACAGCATACTGGACCACAGTCCCCCATGTTTCTCTATAAGCCCCCCTCAATCCATCCTGATCCTAAAACCAACTCTGCCAGTCAGCAGCATCCCCAGTGAACAGCGCAGCACCCACCACCACTAACCCCCCCCAGTAAACCATCCCCCCTCTTCTCAGGTGTCTGGCATAGCAGGAGTACATGCGGGGGGAGGGGTCAGTCAGTGTATACGGGAAGGGGGTCACTTTTATGACGCTGGCAGCTGCAAAGCCCAAAAGAATTC